CCGCTCTTATCCATCGTCTAAGCCATTTTTGCTTCCATCTCTTTAGGGGTTAGGAATTCCTGATCAAGCCAATGGAGTAAAAGTTGGTTCTTGAGACGCTCTTTCAAACGGTTATTACGACTAATTTAATATTTTTTATCGTTTCCGCAATTTTCCTACGTAAACTTGCGCATCCCCTAAAAAGTTAACATTTTCGCTTCCAACTTTGAAACGCTTATGAATTCCCACTAGACCTTAATCAGTGAAAAATACTTCTCAAAAAGGTTCTTTTGACTGATTGGAAGTTTCCAACCGTTTCGGAGATATAGGGAGTTATAAGCTCGAATAACCCCAAAATGACTGCATTTTTGCTTCTGCCCCTTTAGAGGTTAGAAATTCTGGATCAACCAGAGTAATGTATGGAAAGCTCTCGAAGCGCTCTTGATAAAAGGTCAGTACGACTAATCAGCAATTTTTAACCGTTTCCCAGATATTCTTTCTCAAACTGGCACATATGTCTAAATTTGGACTTTTCACTTCTACTGTTGAAACGCTAATGAATTCTTGATAAAACCTGCCCAGCAGAGGATAGCTCTTAAAAGGGGCTATCGAAATGGTCCTGAGGTCTGATAGAATATTTCCAACTGTTGCGGAGATATGGAGGGTTCTAGGCTTTGATGGCCCCAAAATGACTACATTTTGGCTTCTATCTCTTTAGAGGTTAGGAATTCTGGATCAGAACTGGTGAGCTATGAAAATCTCTCGAAGGGCTCTTTCTAAAAGATCATTATGACTTTTTAGATATTTCTGAAGATTTTCGCGATATGCGGCTTAAACTTGCATATAACTCAAAATGTTAACATTTTCGCTTCAATCTTTGAAACAGTAATAAATTGAGCATAAAACCTTCTTAGTGAAAGATCGCCCACGAAGTCTTCGTTTCGAAGTTTCAGAGATATAGGGCGTGTTATGCATAATTGGCCTAAAAATTGTATGTTCTTGATTCTAGCTTTTTGAAAGTTAGGAATTTCTGATACAACCTTAATGCTGAAAAATAGTCCTCAACATAGGCTATCGGAACGGTCATTACAGCTGTTCAGAAATGTTCAACCCTTTCGGCGATATGACGGTTGGAAACTTTCAGACGCTAAAAAAGGGGCAAAGCCCTAGTTGGATCTGAAATGTTTTTATACCAGAATAAAGCCCAATAAATACGCTTGCAAAAATATACTCTGCGATATTCTCAGTCGTTTTTCCGGCACCAATATCGCAAAAGTCGCCAAATTCTGGGACCCAAAAACTGATTGAATACCATAAGTGTGTGCAAAGTATCAGCTCGATATCTTCAAAAATGCGCTTAGTGTCTAAACGGAAAAATAGAAGTTTTACGTCCTTAAGTCGAGCGGTTTTTTATGCAAAATCTGGCAATTTTCTGAAGTCAGATCGGCAGCCTTTTAACCAGATTTTTGCTGGCGAATAACAACCATTTTTTGATAATTTGTCCGTCTTTCGTTCATTCATTCGCGCCGTATAAATAGACCCAATCAAAAAAACTCCCCAACTGTGTTATTTCCATCCAATTCAATTAGGTTTTCGATTTGATTGCTTTATTGGAAGGCTTCAATTTCCAGCCAAACAAATTAACTGGCGGTTTGTACTGGCTGAATCCAGATAAAACACCAGCGGATGTGAATACATTTCCATTCAATATACAGGAAAATGCCCAAAAAATGCAGGTTTTCTGTGAAAAAGATTGATACTTTTTATTGCGACGAAGCGGTTTGGAAACTGTCGCTTTCCAGCTACAAAAAAGCACACAAGAATAAAAAGATGAAACCCTTTTCAACTTCTTGTTGAAATTTTTGTTTTTTCAGTCCATTAAATCCCAAGTTCTAGATCGATTGTTTGAAAAACTATCATTATTTTTCATTCATTTCAGTCATAAATATTGCGTGATGCAAGTGTAGAAGTTTTATTTTTCTTCATAAAATACGAACTGATTTCAAAAAAATTCACAGAAACTGGCAACTGCTTTACAAAATGTAGATATTTTTCCACACTTCCGCGATTTGAAACAATTTGATCAAAGACTCACGTGATACCATCAAATTTCCATCTATAGAAAAAGAACAATTAGTACGTCACTGCCAAAACGCTTGGGACAAACAAACATTCGAAGCGCTAATTGCTTTTTATTCAAATTTACTTAAGAAAAATTCAAACAGTTGATGATAAAAATCGGATTTTCGCTAAAAGTGTTTCGCATAAAACTAACTAGTAAAACAAATAAACTAAGTGAAGTGGTTTTACTGACCAAAGAGCGGTTTTGTGTCCGATTAGATTCAAACACTTCTATACCTTTTCATGCATCCTTTGCGAAATAGTGTGTACAATTTTCATTATGGCTGATACATCTGGATGCACTGGGATTAAAGGTCATCAACACTCCAAGACACTAAACCAATATACAAATGCAATGTTTACGACACGAACATCCACATCTCGTCTCTTAGCGCGTATGAAAAGCTCTGCCCGCATAAAACCGCAAATATGGTTCACATCCTGGCTATAATTTTAATGTTTAATAACAAATTTAATGTCTTTTAAGGTTGCGGGAGTCTATTCTAGAACAAGAAGGCCGGAGGCATTTTATGGAAGTCGGTCGAGCCTGTAGCTGTTGAGTTGGAGGAAACCTTTTTTTGGTAGAATGCAAGAGAGTCAATTAAATTGCATTTTTTTATTGTTTTATTAGGTATTTCTTGCTCTAAACGTTCAATTAAGAGCAGTGATAATTAACCGACTAAGTAATGTCGAAGTCGTGCTGTAAAACGGTTGAACAGAAAAATTTAATTTAATTTAAAAAAATGCAGCTGAGAAAATTTTTCAGCAATCGACTCCCGAGCATTTTCGCAGGTTTTGACGTAAGCATCCATTTCCGGATGGCCGACCATCTCAATTTGCCATTGATGTGTACCGAAGTAATTTTCTGATTTCGGCCGGCAAATGCGCTAATTGCGCTAACAAATGCAACTACTCACCTTGGCGGTCATTTTTCGTAAGCGGCAGCTACTAAAACTACACAAAATTGCACCCACAAGCTGATTTTGTTATGATGTCGACGCCCTGCGTCGCGACGCTTTCCTGAACGACGTGCGCCGCGTTACAGTGGATAAAACTCGTCTGCCATTGAACAAAATTCCAATCAGACTGAATTTCAACAGCAAAATTTAGTTTTTTTGGAACCAGTTCGAATTCAGAGTTCAGTAATTCCTCCTGCATTTTATTACTGTATTCAATGCACGAAATAAATCAAATATACAGAGTGGTGCAACCAAGATTTAGCTGAGACATTGTTGGATTGGATACCGTGGTGCAATTGAAAGGCCACCTAAAACACCCGACTTGACACTAATTGACTTTTTCCTATTGTCATGTTAAGGCTGAAGTTTACAAACAGGCCCCAACATGAGCTGCAACAGCTGAAGACATGAAAACAAGAATAAGGCAGTTTTCGAAATGTTTCAGTACAAAACTTCAGAAAATGTAAAAATGTCCCTTTGTGGGAGGTAAAATGTGTTTAATACTATTGGAAATATTTTTTGCCAACATTTTCCGCATCATTTCACTGGGAAAGCCTTATCGATCGAACCATAGCCAATAGATAAAATGTTTCCCGGCATTGGATGTTCTAAACATCGAAAATTGAGGGAATATTTACGAGTGCATTATGGATTTTCGTACATTCAAAGTGCACATATGTTAAAGGAGCGTCACTGTAAAACCACATGTTATTTGCGCCTTTTGTCTGTAAAGTTCGAGTTTTACACGCATTTTACGGCCTAATTATGATTATCAGTAAACTTGTTGGTTGTTTAGTTGTTAAAAACAATTAGAATTCGGTTTCATCAGGAAGACGGCAATTTATGGAACTTTGCAATTGTTTAATTGAGGATTGTGGTCAAAGTGGATGTTTATCCGCTAAAACAATTTTATGGTTTTTCAACACTTAAGCCACAAAACGTTTCAAAAATGTTCGATTCATCCCATTTTTGTTAAGGATTTCTTGTCGAGAACAGATTTTCGGATTATTCAGCCGGCGTGAAGAGGAATTTGATCTTGACGTTTCGCTAGCATCTTCAGAGTTATATTCGCAACGGAAGCGATTTAAGTTTCAGGCCGGAATTCCTTCAGTTTACTGATTTTTTCATCATTTTTTAATCTCTATCTAGCTGACAACGAAAAAGGCTATGTTTAAGTTGCAAAGGTACCATGTTGTCACGTAGCAACACGTAGACCATGTTGCATCTCTCACAGACTCCTATGTGTGCGACAGCGATAACCAATGCCAGCTGCGTTCTTAAATGGCAAAATCAGTTTCAAATCAAGTAATGGCAATATCAAATATTCACTTTCGAGTGTTCGAGCGCCCTAAGTAAATATGCATATTTATGTGGAATGCATTGTAATTATGTATTATTGAATTACTAAGTATTCGTCATTATACAGAGTGAACTAAGTTAACGGGCAATTTTGTAAATGTTCTACATGTTTTTAAAGTGAAAGCTAAAACTCACATTTTCTGTACGTATTCGAAAATCGCAAAGTCTTCTCAAGACGTAGAGTTTCATAAATTGCTTTTTTTAAGCTTAAAGAAGCTAAGCTTAAGCTAAGAAGAGACTTTTAAGGCAATATTTTTGCTTTTTTTTCGAAATACATATTACGTATAGAAATTAAGTTTGTTTTTTGAAGAAATGTAAGAATTCCTGTAATTATACTCTGTAGTCCAAAAGTTCCAGTTAGAATGAATTTATTTTTATATATTGATTATTTTGTTGCTGGCCGCTTAGATGTGTACTTTACACTTAAATTCAGTTTTTCTTTAATATAATTCTTATATATAACGCTTTAGCGACGTGAAGCAAATGAACATACCAAAAGTATGTAATTTGCAGAAAATTAATTAAGTATTTTCAAAATTCTTAACACCAGTCCATCCAGCATGGATGCCAAATCCACTAATCTCGCATACACATGATCTGACATCTTTCGAGCATGGTAACCTTCAAACTAGTCAAAACATCCACCATGTAAATAGCAACAAAAAACAATTATTTTTAAAAACATTTAACTAGTATGTCCTGCAGTGTCTGCTGCATTTGCTTCAGGACAAGTGAGGGTTTAAAGGCAATAAATACCCCAGATGAGAACTCTTTGAAATTGAGCGCAAAACTCAACTTTGTCGCGCCCAAGCTGGTAAGTTCATTAAGTACATCTTTTCGCAATAGTCACTGTGGAATATTCCAGGACTGGTCGGACATATTCTCCATATGCCCCGAATGTAATGAGCAACTGGACAACGCTTACAACTTCAAGTTGTTGTGTTTAAAAAACGAATCATCTCGAATGGCCTTTGATAAATCCTCCTTGGACGATCAGCTTGATGATGCCTTTCAAGCAGAGCATCTCCCATTTGGGGAAGAGTCCGAAATAAAGGACATAGGCTTAAAGCCACTTCAAGCTCTTGAGCTTACATGCCCCCATTGTAGGAAAACGTTTAAATCCCAAAGAACTCTAGAGACCCACTTTAAAAAACAGCACGACAAAACTTGCCAGCTATGTGAGCAAAGCTTCAGCACCAACAAAGAACTTCTAAGGCATAAGAAAGCTGAGCACCATCGGCAGCAAGAATCATCGAAGTTTCAATGCGAAATTTGTGGGGAGAAATTCGCGCTGCTTAAACACATTCTCCAGCATTCGATGCAAGTTCATTTAATGAACAGGAAGGATATAAAACCCTATTGGTGCGATCAATGCAGCAACAAGTTTTCCTCCTCGACATTACTGATCCAGCACAAAAAGTACCATAATGGTGAAAGAACGTTCATATGCACCACTTGTGGCAAGTCGTTTGTAACAAAGCGCGACTTAAGCGGACATGAAAAACTCCATGATAATGAAAGAAAATACAGCTGCGATAAATGCCCGAAGAACTTCAATACCAGCCAGAACCTTAAAACTCACATTTATGTGGTTCATACAGACCCAAGTAAATGGAAGTACTCCTGCTCGGTGTGCGGGAAAAAGTTCCCAATGAAGAGCAATTGCAATGAGCACATCAAACGGCACGAAGGCAGCAAAGACTTTGAATGCCACATTTGCGGGAAAACATTCATCAGCAATTACGAGGTGAAAAAGCATGTGAAACTGCACTCAAACATTGCCTTCTACAAATGTGCGGGATGTTTGAAACACTATCGCGATAAAAGGTCGTTGGATAGTCATCTGTATAAGATTCATGGATTGGGAACGAAGAAACCGCCAATACGAGTGAAGAAATTTGTGTGTCACATCTGTCCTAGTCAGTTCTTCGATAATCAGAAACTGCAAAGACATATTAGGGCGCATACTGGAGTGAAACCCTTTAGGTGCCTTGAATGTGATAAACGGTTTATCGATAAGAACTATTTGAGTTCTCATCTGAAAAACGTGCATGGGTTTGAAGTGAAAACAGCAGGTATTGATGATTATTTCTAATTAACTTACATAACTTAAAATAACATTGATTCATCACATCATGCTTCTTCGGCTATCTGGTTGAAATTCTCAATTAAATGAGTGGGAATCTCCAGTTCCTTCAGGTTGTTTTCCCCTATTTCTTCCTCAGTTCTGAAACACCCACTTTAGTTAATATTCCCAAACCCACACCTAGTTTAATTATTATATACCTTATTAGGATATCCACCAAATTTTCACAAGCTAGCAAGGCTTTTGGGTCTTTCTCCCACTTGTGCAGTTCTCTTAAGATAATGTAGGTATTTTTATCCCGAATGTATTCTCGGTTCACCCGCGTTGAACACAACTGGGTGATGGCCTCGATTAAAATGCACCTAAAACAATCTCAAGTTGTAAGCTTTATCGATTGACTTATATACTTCTTGCCTTATGTCCGGGTCCCCTTCTCTGGTTTTATCTTCGGGAAGATATTGCAGATCTAAAGGCAGTTTATCGTTGTCCTCTTCGTCAAACTCCTCAGGTCCAGCAAGAGGGAGCAGCAATCTGGATAGAATATCTACGTCTTCACTCAGCAGCCATTCATGATAGTCCGTTTCAAAGCAGCAGTTCTTCAGGGTGCCGATTACTCCACCTCTCCTAACCATTGAGTCCTTATATTCAGTGAACGGCAGCAGCCTTTGGATGACACATTTGCTTTTATCCAACACAAACGTCCGGACTCGTCTGCTTTGGGTCAAATTGGACAAAACTGGCCCCAAATAGTGAAGTTTGGCTGATTTGTTATATTCATTTTTTGTGAAAATTTCAATGAGTTCATCAAATGTGTGGCCACTCTCCTCTATTAAATCTATGACTTTCTCTATTAAATGCCTCAGTCTGGACACGTTGGACAGGATCATACAGCACTGATCAGCGATTTTGCTCTCTTTGTTGAAAATCTCTTTTAGGCATTGTTTCACAATATTCTCCGGAGGCAGTTGTAAGGGAGGACATTCAACGCTCAGATCCAACTCCAAGACGGCCGCAGCCCCCTTTTCCTGGGCAGTAATATTAATCAAACTTAGGCTAACGTCTTTTGCAATTAGCGCCGATTTGTCTTGTAGAAGCGTTAAAAGGGCGAACAATAGCGGCGGGTAATTGTAAACAGCCGCAACTCCATCCGGAGAGCCCGTGAGATCTAAGGAAGGTGAGATTTTGAGTAAATAATTGAAAATCTAGATCCAAACAACACTTACCTAAAATGTTTTCGAGTGCTACGGTTTTGAGGTCTAATCGGGCCCCAATTCGCACAAAGTTGACCAGTTCTTCTAAAGCTTTCTCCATTTATCAGTGGTTTAATCGAAGGCAACTTACACAAAACATAAGCACACTTTCCGTGTGAAAACAATTAGGTTATGGTTGGAAAACAGAGAAAACAGTATTTTTCTCTGCTCGTTGCCAACAAACAATGGAAATCACCAACAAATTGTCGGTGATTTTTGAGATATTTGCCACTAGATGGCAAATTATTCTGGGGGATTTTTAAATTTTTCCAGCTAGTTAATTGCGTTATACTTGAAGATTTTCTGATCAAAAGACCTGGGATGTTCTGAGGTCGGTATGACCTCAGAACATCCGAAGATATTTTCGTTTCCAGTTTGATTCAATGTGTATATCCGGTTGCATAGCTGTAGGACGGATAATGTGAGCTAATTTGGCTTCCTCAAAACGTCAAAACTGTTGAAAAGTAATGGCAGTCCGAAACTGATAAACTTTCGGGAACAGATTGTTTTGCATCTGTGTGTAATTATTTAATTAAATTCGAGTATTTTGACTAAGAAATGTGTTAAATTTGTGCCAGATGCACCAGTAATCCTTCAAAATTTCGAAGGTAAGTCAAAATCATTCTGTAAGCTTGGCTTTTGCAGTTTACAACCGATTGCTTACTTGCCCCAGTGTTTATCCTGCAAAACGACTTCCTGGCTTACAGTTTTTTGGCCCAAACTCAATTTCAATGCACATTTAATCGTTTTAATTGGTTTCTCATTGTTAGACAATTGTTAATAAATTGACTTTAAAAAGTAGGGCCACAATCCTCTATGAGCCAGTATAGTTCACTTGGCATTCCATCTGCGTTCCTCTGCCCGATTAATTATTGGATTTGTGGTGTATAATGATGGTATTGTAGGTTGTCATTCGATTTATTGCGTCTTGAGAGCTCATGTTTTTATCATTTAATTACATTCATTAAGCCCTGCCGATTGGGTTCATCAGAATGTTAAGCATTTTGCAATGGCTGTGTTTTACCGCCAGGTATTAGTGTTTATCAGTAGGTAGTCAACTTCTATTACATATACATTCATATAAATAAATAATTAGAGCATATCCTTACCTACATCAAGCTTATTAGGGTCAATGTTTGCTCCTTTGCGTTGGATAGACCCAAGAAAGACTCACTTGCATTGGGGTCACTTCTCACAGATCAACGCTTGTTTCATTCATGATTTGTATCATTTTAAATGAAATCGCCAAAAAACACGCTCTGTGAGCGTCTTGTAGGTTTAAAAATGGAATAAGCACTGTATAACGTAGCCCCTTGAACGCAGCTTTTTCAAGGTTTTCACTATATTTCAGGAACGATTTCAGATAGACGAAGGATCTTTTGTGCACATTTTACCATCCTTCTTATAGCCACTGTATAAGGGTTAAGTCGCATTTTTTGGGAACTGCGAGGTTATTTTGCCCCCAACTTCTACGCCACTGGAGGAAGTCGGGATTTAAAAGCATATTTTCAAAAGCCATTGTTTTCTTTACAAGAAGCTGCTCTTGGTCCAAAGCTCTAACTTGAGCCGTTTTAGAGAAAAGTAATATTTTGGGACGAAAATCATGAGTAAACATAAGGCAATTTGGTTCAGTTTAGTATTTATTTGCAACAGTCAGTTTTCCAATCAAAATTAGCTGCTAGTGAATAATTCAAATGCCTTTGATGGTTTTTGCAAATTAAGAATACCTATACAGTTATTGATTGTTATTATGTACTTTTTATGGGCTTTCAGCATGAAATGCCCCTTTTCACTAAAACGGCTGACGTTACAATTCGTCAGTAAGAGAGCTATTTTGTGTAGACTGCAATCGTCTCCCAAAATACGCTTCAATCGCTATTATCATAGCAATTTTATACATATGCTGGGAAAGGAAATGATTTAACAAATCTCAATAAAATCGGGAAAATTAAAGGAAATCTGGAGTGGAACACTAAACAAAAAGCTACTAGCGTTTCCAAATATCCAAACGCATAAAACTCTCAATTCCCAATAGGGGTTTTACTCATAACTCCAAACGATAAAGACGCGGTTGATGCCATAATGTATTTTAAATTATGACACGCCGGGAAAACCGGATAAAAAGCGCCGAGAAGTCTGAAAAGAAAATGGGGGCGAATGGAATACAACGGGGAAAACCATTTTAGCCCTAAGGACGATATTGAATTTTTAATTTGAGTGAAAACACAGCGTTGCGGCCTGAAAACATATACATGCATACCCTTTTTTTTCAAAAAGAAACACCCTTAACTGGAAGCGTCCCCTTCTAATCAAACAATCTGAGTAAAAAAGTCACGTAACAGGTCTATCAGGGGTTTGAATCTAGAAAAACGTAAAAGGTCTCGTGATAAATGAGATTATGCGGCCACCCTTGAATTCTCAACCCCTTTGTCGTTGCCCTTAGACGGAAGTAGACAAAGGCACGATGACACAACGTGAAGTAATGTAATCGTACGGGTTTTCTTTCGGGAATAAAATTCGTCATTATGGCTGGTTACATTGAAAAGAAAGTATTTAAATAGGGATTATGTTAATTGGCTTGCACTATTCAAAATGGTCTCACACTGGCATCATTTGGCTGAAGGTTACGGTTTGCAAAACGATTCAATTAAAAGGCTGCCTTTGTTTAAATTCGCCAAAAATCAGCAAATGCACCGGTTGCAGAGAGAATGTCGACACTGATAGAAGAAAGTGTACGCTTTCCAGTGGCGCCACAAGCATCTTTCTAACTGGCCTGGGTTTTATAATTTTTTTAACCGATTTATAAGCCAATTCAATATTCGCACATACTTGCGGAAAAATTCGCCAAAAAATCAGCACAGTCGCAATAGCAGCGAGCTTCGCAGGAATAGTAGAGGAAAGTTTGCTCTTTCCAGAGGCCTAAAAATCAGTTTTCAACTTGGGCTGGTTTTTGCAAAATAAATTTTTGAAATCAGATTTTGCGACACAAACAAATGAATCAACTGCGCGTGTTAAAATTCCCAAAAAAATCAGCCAGTTTATCGAATGGGGAGAGAATCTGGGCACTGATAGAAGAAAGTGCATGCTTTCCAGTGGCGCAACAAGCATCTTTCTAACTAAGCTGGTTTTTGCGAAATATATTTTTTAGGTCAATTTTTCTGTCAATGTTAGCACATAGTTGCGGAACAAATAGCCAAAATTCAGCAAATTTGCAATTGTCGTGAGCTTTTCCGGAAGAATAGAGAAAAGTTTGCTCTTTCCAGTGGCGTAAAAATCACTTTTCTATCCGCGCTGGTCTTTGCAAAATAATTTTTTAAAACAGGTTTACATCGCTATTAATTTTCGAGGCGCGCAATCAGCTGCGGGTGTTAAAATTTCCAAGAAATCAACAAATTTATCGATTTCAAAGAGAGTGTGAGCACTGATAGAAGAAAGTGCATGCTTTCCAGTGGGGCAACAATCATCTTTCTAACTAAGATGGTTTTTGCGAAATAATAAAAATAAGAAATAATTTTCTTGATTTTTGGGGAATTTTTTCATTAAAATCGCATTTTTAGCAGATTTTTTAGGAATTTGCGAAATCCGACTTCCACTTTCAACGCTTTTTGCAGACCAATCTTCGACGCTTCGTCACTCTCAAACTAGATCAAATCGACAAATTATTTTTAGCTGTCCTTAGAGAGGACATTTTTGTTGTTGAAAACTCGTAAAACTCATTTCAATCGAGTTTGAACATTGATTTTTAGAAATTTTTCAATT